TGAGAATCTTTGTCTTCTTGACATTGAGCCTCAATCCATATTGAAGGCTGCAGTCCTTGACCCTCTGCAGCAAGCACTTCAGGTGTTCTTCAGTTTCAGCAAGCAGGGTTCTGTCATCTGCATAACACAGATTGTTGATAGATCTACCTTGTATGCTATAGAATATATATTTATCAATATGTGTTAGGAGCTCTGGTGGCCTAGTGGTAAGAAGCTGATCTGTAATTCCAAAAGCATGAGGTTTTAATTCCATGGGAGAAAGATGCCCGCTCTCTTCCCATCTGATTTACTGCCTTTGAAAACCCGCTGGCGGGTAAGCTATGGATCACTTCTGACTCAATGGCACATAACAATAATGATATGTATTATGTAATATACACTTATTAAATACATATTTCATTCTATTTTAAACATATTTCATGTTTAAAGGATATATATATAAAATTCTCTCTGTCCACCCCTTTCACACCTTCAAGTTATACATTGTATTCCTGGCCACCCTGGACCACCAGGCATAAAAGGCAAAATGGGTCCTCCAGGAAGAAGAGGCTCAAAAGGAGAAAAAGGCAAGTATGCGTCAAAACAAGAATTTCTAGAAACTGATGATACGTGGAGAATGGAGAACATGAGTGAAATGGAGGGTGGGACTTTTTTCCAGATTTGTTATTCACTTTACCTTCAGCAATCCCTGTGGTGCAGTGTGTGACATGTTGGGCTCCTAACTGAAAGGTCAGTAGTTCAAATCCACCACCTGTTACCCGGTAGAAAGATGTGGCAGTCTCCTCCTATAAAGCTTGATGACACCTGGTAGAGAATTGCGATGGGGCGAAGCTGACTCAGCAGCAGTGAGCTTGTCTCGGGGTGCCTTGGTTCACATTCTTTTCACGAGCACTTGGCCTCATTATGTGCTTATGGTACCGCCTTGTGCTTGGCCACTGTGTGCTCATGGTGCAGTTAAAGGTCCTCCAGCAAAATCACCCTTGTAATACCCAGTGCATGATGGAGATACTCTTTGCTGTGAAACTGACCTCAAAAAGAACATCTTGTCACAAGTGCTCTTGAGTCTTCAAAAGCAGCCAAGACAGATTTGTTTTATTATTTACAGGGTCCTTCTTCCCAGGCTCTTCTTGGGATATTTCAGCCCAAACTGTTTTACTTTTTATAAATAAACTTTATATTATTTTTTTTTAGAGCAGCTTTAAGTTTACAGGAAAACTATGCAGAAAGCCTCTCCCTGTGCCCTCATTCCCTCCTGCACTTGATTGTCCTGTGATTAGCATCTTCCACACGATAATATGTTTGTGACAGTTGATAAATCAGTATCAATACTAATAACTAGTCCACAGTTGACATTAGGACTCACATCTGACTTTACTCTGATCCATCTTGTCAGGTGGGTGTGGTGTTCTCATTATGTGCTATTGAGTCAGTTTCTACAGAGTGAAATTGTCCCACAGGGGTTTCAAGGCTGGAGAGAGATGACCAGAACGTTATCCAAAATAGCTGCCTGTAGATTTGAACAGCTAACCTTTCAGTTAGCAGCTAAGAGCTTAACTAATACACCATCAGGATATAAACACAGAGGAGAAATGTGACAATCTAGAAATACAAGAATGCTTTATGGTCAACCATCACTCACCCTATAGCACTGTTGTGTTGTTGTTAGGTGCCATCAAGAATAAGCCTTGCTTACATGCAATTTTGTTTCTTTAATTGTTCATGGATCCTGTTTTATCCTAATTTATTTTGTTGTTGCTAATGTGCAGTTGGAGTCAGAACTGACTCGTCACTCAGTCTCAGTGAGTCTTTACAGGCTGTAAATCGCACGGGAGGAGATTGACCATCTTTCTCCGAAGGAGCAGCTGGTGCTTTCAAATCATATGCCTTTGGCTACTCAGATCCTTTGCACTAGGCCACCAGAGCTTAAACTCTAATTTATTTGTGTGGCTTCTTTCACAGGAACCAAATAAGACATTTTAAAACCTTTTAAAAACAAGGCTTTTATTTTTAAAGTTCCTTCTGTAGCATGCATATAATTTTTCACCCTCTAATTTGTCAGAATGAGTTTATAAAGAAATGAAACACTGTTTACCTATAAACTCTCTACTCACCTCTGATAAACCACATCATGACTTCACACCGTACTTGGTCCCCAGATCATATGTTGGCAATTGTCTGTAAATAAAAATTATTCACACTGGATCCTCTTGTCCCATCTTAGATATTGATTGTGTGCATTAGAATTTTTATTGTGGATTAACAGAAAACATGACCAGCAACATTTTTCTCTTCTCTGCAGGAAATGAGGGGCTCTGTGCCTGTGAGCCTGGCCCCATGGGACTCCCTGGCCCCCCAGGACACCCTGGGCTGCAGGGAACTAAGGGAGACTTAGGACCCCCAGGGTTGTTTGGAGAAAAAGGTGACCCTGGCCTGCCTGGTGCTAGAGGACCTCCGGGACCGCTTGTGAGTAACTCTTCATGATCTTACTTTTTTATGTGTAGTGTGGATTGTGTTTTGAGCCCCATGACTAAAAACCACCTGTGTTCATCATTCATGTGCTGTTCACCCACCCATCCACCATTCATTTATTCAGCTAATGTGCACTATTCAGCTAATGTGCACTGAGCACCTGCAGTGTCCCACAGTTCCTGGTGTTGGGGTGACAATGGGGCCCAGAACAATCTTTGACTTTGTCAAACTCCCAGTCTTTGGAGAGAATGCAGACCATCTCATGGATGTATGTCGGGTGGTGGTGTTAACCCATGGGTGTTTTATTTTATATTACTATGAGGTTTAAAACTTCTGATTCCAAATCATGGTGACCCTCCCAGACTGCAAATCTTAATGAGAGCAGACTGCTTCGTTTTTCTCTCGCCAAGTGGCTGGTGGATTTGAACCACTGACTTTCCACTAGTAGCTCAACACACCACATACTATGCCACCTGGGCTTACTGAAGCAATTCTACTCTTCAGGGTTGCTGTAAGTTGGAATTGACTCGGTGATAATCGATAATAAGGCTTCCCATGAAAAACTGGGAGTTCACGTAAAAGGGCCCTTCAGTGTTTCCTCTGTTGTTGGAAACCGAAAGGTGTCTGCTTCTATTAGGGGAAGTCTGAGAACCGCAATCTCCACTATGCCCACATGCCTGCCTCCTTTCTTTGACTTGGCCCCTGTGGACATCTGTGATGGAATTAAATTATCTAGACAGTGCATTAAAAAACTGGTGCATACCTTCCTGAAGGAGCTTGGTGTTAACATTGGGCTGTTGATGTTCTGACATGCATGTGTAGTGATCTCAAGGAACTCTGATGGCCCAGTGAATTATGCATTGGGCTGTTAACTGAAAGGTTAGTAGTTCAAAGCAATCTGCTGCTCAACAGGAGTAAGATACAGTGTGTCTGTAAAGACTTGTCACTGTGAAAACTCTCAGAGGCACTTTGAATTACTTTTCTGTAGAGTCACCTTGAGTCAGAATCCAGTCAATGGCTAAAATCTTTAGATTTTTTGTATTCTCAGGGCCCTGGCCTTGGATGCAATCACTATCTATGGCAGGAAATTTGGAGGACTGCCGTCTGGCCAATAAATTGGAAGAGATCCATATTTGTTCCCATTCCCAAGAAAGGCAATCCAACTGAATGTGGAAACTATCGAACAATATCACTGATATCACATGCAAGCAAAATACTGCTGAAGATCCTTAAAAAATGCCTAAAACGGGGAGGAGGGATTGTGTATCAATGAAAGAATTTTTCTTTTACTTTTCAAGAGAAGAGCAAACTTGGGGGGGAGGAGGGGTGGGCAGCGAGAAAAAGCAACAATAAATGAATGGAAATCCAAAAATCTATGTAAACATTCATTAAAATAAAATAAAAAATAAAAGAAATTTTAAAAATGCCTAAAGTAATACATAGATAGGGAACTGCTAGAAGTTCAAGCAGGAGTCAGAAGAGGCCGTGGCATCAGGGGTATCACTGCTGATGGCAGATGGATCCTGGCTAAAAATAAGGAATATCCGAAGAATGTCTGTTTGTGCTTTATTGACAATGCAAAGTTGTTTGACTGTGTGGATCATGACAAGTTGTGGTTGACATTGAGAAGAATGGAAATCCTGGAGCACTTGATTGTGCTCGTGTAGAACCTATACCTCGATCAGGAGGCTGTTGTGCGAATGGAGCGGTGGAGCACTGCATGGTTTGGAACTGGGAAGGGCATGCACCAGGGTTGTATTCTCTCTCTGTACTTATTCAGTCTGTATGCTGAACAAATTATCCTAGAAGCTGGACTCTACGAGGAGGAGTGTGGCATCAGGATTGGAGTGAAACTCATCAATAACCTGCATTATGCAAATGACAACAACCTTACTTGCTGAAAGTTAGGTGGGCTTGAAGCACTTGTTGCAGAAGATCAAGGAATGCAGCCTTCAGTATAGATGGCATCTCAATGTCAGGAAGACAAATATCTTACTGTTATTCTGATAGGCTGCATCATGATGGATGGAGAGGAGATTGAAACTGTAAAAAGCTTTCTCTTGCTTGGAACCATAATTAGCAGCCTTGGTATGAGCAGTCAGGAAATAAGGAGACTCATTGTACTGAGAAAATCTGCAATAAAGACCTTTCCAAATTACTGAAGAGCAGTGTTGTCAGTTTGAGGACTAAGGTGTATCAGATTCAGGCCTTAGTCTTTCTGATTACTTGTTATGCATCTGAGAACTGGACAGTGAATGAGAATGACAGAAGAAGAATTGACACCTTTGAGCTGTGGTGTCAGGGAAGAACACTGAACATCATATAGACGGCTAAGAGAACAGATATATCTTGGAGAGGGTGCAGCTGGAGTGCTCTTTGGAGGCAAAGATGATGAGACTTTGCGTCACCTACTTTGGATATGTTGCTAGGAAGTGCTATTCCTTTGGAGAAGGACATGATGCATGGTGGAGGGTTGGTGAAGGAGAGGAAGACCCTCAACCAGGTGAATTGATATGGTGACTGCTGCAATGGGCTCTTGTGTGCCAGGATGTATGAGGATGGCACAGGATGGAAGAAGGTGAAGATCTTTTGTTCATAGGTTCACTATGAATCGAGCTTGACTCAACAGCACCTAACAACAATAACAACAACAGGGTCCTGGAGTTGTGAAGGTGATTCTAAATCCCAAAGGTGCTAGAATACTTTGCCCCAAGATTCAAATCAGTGACACATTAATATCACTAGATTCTGAGCCCATGATGGCAAGATTGTCTGGGAAGCTGGTGAGTCCCCCTCTTGGGACATTCCTTGCATTTTGTAGGTCTCAGAAGATGTTTCTTCAGTGAAGTTTACAGGCAGAAGTTGTAACTTTATTTTCTCACCAATGCTAATAAGTCAGTGATAAAATTCTGCTCTGACAAAGCAGGTGAACCACTTAGAATAGATTCTAAGTGGCTCTTCTGATAAACTCCTCAGATGCCAAGGTGTATTCATTCCCTCAGGACACTAACATCTTCGTTAAGCCTGCTGGTTAAGTTGCTCTGTGAATAGTTTTCACCTTTGGCATTTGATGCACCAGAAAGTTGCTTGCATTATTAGTTGCTTAGATTGAGTTCTATACTCCGTTCACTTTGACCTAATCCCATAGTCATTGATAACATAGCACATATATTCACACATTTATTCAGTAAGAATAAAACCAACAATTACCACAGAGTAACACTTTACAATTTCTTACATTTTTTACTGTGTAATTGTGACCCCATGAACAACAATGGGAACCTTGCTGTATCCTCAGCCATCGCCACAATCACCTCCTTGCTCAAGCCCGTTGCTCTATCAGTCCGTCTTATTGAGTGTCTGTCTTTCACTAACCCTTTATATTTCCCAGCTTGATATCTTTCCCGGGATGACTGGCTCCTCCTGGCAACAGGTTCTGAGTATGTGAGCTCAGGTTTCACCACCTCTGTCTCTAAGAAGCCCTCTGGATGCACTTCCTCCAAGACAGATTTGTTTTCTTCTTAACTGTCATCTATTCAGTATTCACTGCCAACACCACAGTTCAACAACAACAACTAAAGAGTGTGTCCCACTCACCGTCTTGATAGCTTTCCGTCGTTGGTTCAGCCAGTGCTACCCTGGTGGTGCTCTCAGATATGATGGGCAGTGAATGCGGACGGAGCTTTCTGTTCAAAAAGAATTTAAATGACTATTAAATTGCCCTCAACCGCTTTGCCTGTCTGGTGTGTACATGTTTAGCTTCTTTTTCACTCTTAGCTGCTTGACGATGTCCTTGAACTTACCTGAACCTGAACCTCTTCTTCCATTTATAATTTAAAAAACAAAGCAAACCTCCTGCCACGGAACCAATTTATACACATAGCAGCTCTGTAGGATAGAGGAGCACTGCATCAAAGAGTTCCCAAGGCTGCCAGTGTTTACAGAAGCTGACCACCATCTAGTTCTCCTACAGAGAGACTGGGGGGTTCGAACCCCTGACCTTTCAGTTAGAAGCCCAGCACTGTAGTCGCTGTGCTACCAAGACTCCTTTGGTAGTAGCAAAAGTTACTCATTTTCTTCCTGTTGTTCATTAACTTCCTCACGGTCACCTCCTTCATCACAAAGTCATTCCTAAGCCTTTCCCCTGTGATCTCATGGTATTCTTGCTAACAGCCTTCCCTCCTTTTGCTCCTATGCTAGAAAGCCCATGATAATGTCATTTTAAAAACAGCTCTTTATTCTGAGATAGTTTAAGACTCATAAGGATTTACACAAATCATTAGTGAGTTCCTCTGTACCCTTCCCCAGCTTCCCCCAATGACAGTGTCTTATATAACCATAAAACACTGCCCAGTCCAGGAATTGATATTGATCCATTTCTGTGAACTTCATTACAGACCTTATTCACATTTCACAAAGACAAACCAAGACAAAATATTGAAAGGCAATGAAAAAGAAGAGACTTCAAGTGTCCCATGAGACTGTGTATCAAGTAATGTGGGAAGCAGAAAGGGAGAAATTACATATACAGGTGTGAATAGCTTTTGATTCATTTAAATAAACTTATTTATGTTTTCAACAAGGGAAAACCTGGAGCCTCAGGACCACATGGCAGCAAAGGAGAAAAAGGTGACATGGTTGTGTCCAGAGTTAAAGGTAAGCATAAATGATACCTGGACCATCCTGAGTTATATATGAACATTACGCTTGTTTTCCTCATAACCACAGATGAATTCAATAGTAAGACCTAAGGATATAGAGATTGCTTTAAATATACTTCCTGCCTTTCATAGGGTCGTGTGAGTGGTGAACTCCAACTTCCCATTCCCATATTTGAAAACCATCTTGAATTACATATGAACAATTTTCTTGTATTAGTTTCCCCCATAATTACAGATCAATTCAGTAACAAGACCTAAGAATGTAGAGATTGCTTTAAAAATACTTCCTTATTTTCATAGGGCCATGTGAGTTGTGAACTCCAGCTTCTCATTCCAATATTTAAAAATGCAAGTACTTCTTTTATTATGCACTTATCTTTCATTCTTGTGAAATTGGATTTCGAACAAAACCTCCTTTGAGTGACATAATGTTATTTTTCACTGCTTTATGTTGCTTTTGTTGTTGATATGTGCCATCAAGTTCCCTGTGACTCATAGCGACCTTACGTACAATAGCTCTGAACCATGCACTATCCTGAGCCAGTCTCAGGGACTCTGACACACCTACCACCATTACCCCAGTTTCTGTGTCAAACCATTTTATCCGAGATCTTCCTCTCCTGCATTGTCCTTCTGTCATTTCAAGCATGATGTCTTTCTCCAAAGACTGGTCCCTCTAGGCCATGTGCCCAAAGTATGTGAGACAGAGCTTCAAAATCCTAGCTTCCAATGAGAAACTTGGTTTCACTCTCTCCAAGACAGACCTATTTGTTCTCCTGGCTGTCTGTGATATGTTCAATACTCTTCCCCAGCACCACAAATCAAAGGCATTGATTCTTCTGTCATCCTTAGTCATTCTCCAGCTCTCTAATGCATAGCAAGAAATTGCAAAGATCATGGCTTGGATCAGGTGCACCTTAGTCCCTATACTGACATTGTTGCTTCTCAGTACTCTGGAGAGGTCCCTGACAGAAGATTTTCCCAGTGCAATTAGTCTGATTTTCTGACTGCTGGAATCAAGGGTGTTGATTGGAGAGATGAGCAAGCTGTAATTGTAACAATCTCAGTCTATTCTCCATCTATCATGATGCTTCCAGTTGGCCCAGTGGTGAGAATCTCTGTCATCTTGATGTTGAGCTTCAGTCCATATTGAAGACAACAGTCCTTGACTTAGTGCAGCAAGAGCGTCAGATCCTCCTCAGTCTCAGCAAGTAAGGTTTTGTCATCTGCACATCGCAGGTTGTTAATGAGTCTTCTGCCAATCCTGATGCCACATTCCTCTTCATAAAGTCCAGCCTCCCAAATGATTGTTCAGCATATAAATGGGAAAGGTATGGAGACAAGACACGTCCCTGACACACTCCTTTCCTGGTTGCGAACCGTGCAGTGTTTCCCTTCTCTGTTCTGAGGACTGCTTCCTGGTCCAAGTATAGGTTTCACTTGAGCACAATCAAGTGTTCTGGAATTCCCATTCTCCTCAAGGTTAGCCACAATTTGTTGGTCCACATAGTCAAATACCTTTGCATGATCAATGAAACACAGATAGATATTCCTCTGGTACTCTTTGCTTTTAGCCAAGATCCATCCGACATTGGCAATAATACCTCTAGTCTAAACCCAGCTTGTATTTCTGGTATTTCTCTGTTGATGTACTATTCCAGTTGGTTTTGGATACTCTTCAGCAGGATTTTGCTTGCTTGTGATATTTTTTTATCATTTCCACATTCTGTCAGGTCACTCTTTTTTTTTTTTTGAATGGGAATACATATGAATCTCTTCCAATTGCTTGGCCAGGTAGTTGTCCTCCAGATTTCTTGACACAACCTGGTGAGCACATCCAGGGCAGCATCTGTTTGTTGAAATATGTCAGTTGGTATGCTATCAGTTTCTGGAGTTTTGTTTTTCTCAATTCCTTCAGAGCATCCTGAACTTCCTCCTTCATCACCATTACCTCTTGATCATTTGTAGTTTTATTAAATTTTTCTGTGTCAGCCAATTCTTTTTTGGTACAGTGACTCTGTATACTCCTTCCATCTGCTTTTAATGCTTCCTGAATTATTTATTCACTATGCTTCCCATAGCATCCTTAAGTATTGAAACTCAAGGCTTGAATTTGTTCTTTAGTTCCTTCTGAGTGAGTTCAGCCCTTTAGATTTTCAGACTCCAGCTTTTTACACATCTCATTATAATACTTTGATTTATCTTCCCAAGCTGCCCTTTGAAATCTTCTGTTCAGCTCCTTAACTTCTTGCTTTCTTCCTTTTGCTTTGGCTTCTTGGCATGCTAGTGCAATATTTAGAGTCTCTTCTGACATTTAACTCTGTCTATTCTTCCTCCTTTGATTTTTCTAGTGGCCTTTTGCATTCTTCCTGGATGATATTCTTGATATCTTTTCGCAGCTCATCTGATCTTTGTTCAGTGGTGTTCAAGAACTCAAATCTGTTGCTGAGATGGTTTTTAAATGTAGGTGGGATAGACTCAAGATCAAAGTTTGGTTCCTGTGGATTTTATTTAACCTTCTTTAGTTTTATTGAACTTGCATGTAAGTTGTTTATAGTGTGTTCCACAATCAGCATCTGGCCTAATTTTTACTGCTTCTCCAATGATTCTTTGCACAGATGATCTCATCTTTATTATTCCTGTGTGCATCATCAAGTGAAATCCATGTGTATAGTCTGCATTTATGTTTCTTATAAAAGATATTTGTAATGAATAAATCATTGATTATACAAATATCTCTATTCCTGTCCCTAGCCTTTCTGTCCTGCATTATAGTATCCAATATTGTTGTTGTTATGTGCTGTCGAGTCAGTTGAAACTGATAGTGACCCTATGTACAACAGCCCTAAACCCTGCTCTATCCTGTACCAATCCCACTGCCTCTGACACACCCATCCCAATTACCCCAGTCACTGAATCAATCTACCTCATAGAAGGTCTTCCCCTCTTGTGCTGTCCCTCCACCCTCCCAAGCATGATGTCCCTCTCCAAGGACCTGTGCCTCCTTACAACATGTTCAGAGTATGTCAAATGAAGCCCCAGAATCCTTGCCTCCAAGGAGCAGCCTGGTTTAACCCTCTCCAGGATGAATCTGTTTGTTTTCCTAGCAGTCCATGGTACATTCAACACCCTTCTCCAGCACCACAGCTCAAAGGCATCAATTCTCCTTCTATCTTTCCTAGTCATTGTCCAACACTCTGAGGCATAACAAGTGATAGCAAAGACCATGGCCTGTATCAGATGCACCTTAGTCTCCAGAGAGACACCGTTGCTCTTTAGTACTCTGGAGAGGTCCCTAACAGCAGACTTTCCCATCGCAATACTTTTTTTTAATTTCCTGGGTACTGGTGCCAAGAGTATCCAATATTAGTCAAGAAAATTTTACTTGTGACAGAAATTCAGCTTCAAGTATTTTAAGGGGAGAAAATAAATACTTCTTGACCCAGCTTAAAACAATAAGAAGATAAAAGATTGGCATTAAGGGAAACTAACTGCAGAGTCTCAAGTGGCCTCATCAAGCTGTGTTTGCATCTTTCATTTTCCATCCTACCCCTGGCATTCTTTCACATGGACTAGCTTCTCTAAACTGTGGGATACATGTGATCAGACAGCTCCACATTATCAGCTTCATTTAGGGAAAGTGGAAAACACAGAAGCATTTGATTGGCTTTTATCAGGCGCCTATTTGTAGATCATCTTCCATGCACTATGGAAGTAACTAGGCGATGGAATACCACATTTGGCATTACGGATAAGGCAGACACTCAGCACTGTAACTGACACCTCCACACAATCTCCTGTTGAAGTGGAAAAGGAACACTTCCCTAGTAAAGCAACTCAAAGGGCTTAGTGGTTGTCAACCTTCCATCTGTCTTTTTTTTTATTTTATTGTGGTTTTTGTGTAAGTTTGGGCAACTGAGACAGATGAAACACTTAAGACTCACACAGGGTCAAGGTCATTGTCTTTCTTTAGTACTTTCTCTACTTCATTCTTTTGCTTAAGAGAACTGGAATGCCTTTACTTCGTTTCCAGGACATAAAGGAGAAAGAGGTCCTACTGGACCCCCAGGATTCTCAGGGCAGCAGGGTCAGGATGGTCAGGATGGACATCCTGGAGGAAGAGGAGACCCAGGACCCCCAGTAAGTATCATTCTTCAGTAACTGCTGTAGAATTTCACTTCCTTATATGACTGCACAGTTATTAAGCTACCAAGGAGTGACTTTATATAATATCAATATGCTATAATATAGAACATTAATGTTCAGTTCACCAATACAGAAAGAAGATAGTAATACAAGTTTTGACATAATTGGAGAAGGTCTGTGATTCCAAGTGGCAGTTACACCATAGTAAGACTTTCTGTCCCCGCATTTAGCATTATCAGTTACATGGTTCTCATTTTTGTCCTGGGCTCTTGTTTCTGCAAAGCCCCCACTATGTTAGATCATAACTGGCTGACTTTGTAGGATACAAGATACAGACCCAGATCATTTATTTGGGTCTGTTCCCTAGTAAAGAAACATATGAGAAGATGTAGCAAGCAAGAAACGGTGAACAATAGCAATTCCATTGAGTTTATGGGCATCCCAATGGAGAATGCTACTGACAAATTATATATCTACATTTTTCAATCATGTTTGGGGTAAAAACTATGTGCAATCAGGAAGGGAATAAGTGAAGACACAATATGGTGTTTAGGAATTTAAGATCTCTTGGGCACATGGAGCACTTTTTAAACATTTCTAATGTCACATAAATGGAACTGGATAGTTTTTATATATAAACTAGTAAGTGGTTAACCTCAGGTGGATCAAAGCTCCACGCTTTCAGTTGGTAGTGCATGTTAAGCAATTGCACCATTACTCTGATGAATAAAACTAGCATTGTGAACAGTGATCTGTTTCCAAAAGATTGTAGCCATGGAACCTTAGGAGCATACTTCTACTCTGGCTCACGTGCAGTAGCTATGACCTTGTCTTTTAGGACCAAATGGAAACTTAGCAGCTAGGGGATCAATTTGATCATGTTGTTAGTCAACAATCGAGTCATGTACAATTCAAGGTGACACTGTGAACAGCAGATCTGAACCCTGTCCTATCCTGTGCCATCCTCATCATTTCTGACCTACTTGAGCCCATTGCTGCAGTTACCATGTCAGTCCATCTCACTGCGGGTCTTCCTCTCTTTTCCTGACCTTTCCACCCTTCCGAGTATGATGTCCCTTTTAAAAGAATAGACTCTCCTAGCAACATGTCCAAAGTACATGAGATGAAGCTTTGTCATCCTTGTCTTCAAGGGGCATTCTGGGTACATCTTCTCCAAGACATATCTTTTTGGGTTTTTGTTTGTTTGCTTGGTTTTGGTAGTCCATGGGATGTTCAGTATGCTCTTCCAATACCACAGTTCAAAGGTATCAATTCTTCTTTTGTCATCCATATTCATTGTCCAGCTCTCAGAAGGCTAGCAAGTAATTTGTCCAAAGCAAGCGAATATTCTAGATTATCCAGCTTTCTGGAGGAGCAGAACTAGCTTGTTAAGGCAAGGTCATATTGCCACACAGGAAGGGAGAGGACTCATTAACTCCATACTCACATATTTGAAATTGTGATGGAATCCATGTGTCTTCTCAGCTTCAGGACAGCTTCAAATATAGAAGACCATGTTAATTTGTAAGTCCATTACTTCTTGTTGACTATTTCTGTATTTTAGTATTTGATATTAAAAATTTTTTATTAGTGGTTCCATATAGAATAATATATACCACATAAGGCTGATTCTCCAGCAGGTTGTTGGAGGCAGTATAAGCTCTGGTGGCCTACTGGCAAGAAGCTGCACTGTAATCCTGAAGGCACGCAGTTTGAATCCACCAGCTGCTCCATTGAAGAAAGATGGGCTGTCTCCTCCCATGTGATTAACTGCCTCTGAAAACCTGCTGGAGGATAAGCTATGGGTTGGTTCTGACTCAATGGTGCACAAAAACAACATGAGAGAGGGAGAAAAACTAAATTTATGTTTGTGAACTATGGAGAAATATTTAAATTCAATCATTCAAAATTACATTTGTGGGGACATTAGCAAGTGAAACAAGACAAATGGATACAGTGGCTGCAACAGTGGACTCACACACATTTGTGAGGTTAGGATTGCATGGCAGTGTTCTGTTGTTTGTATGTGAGGATAGGATACCATAGCAGTGTTTTGTTCTTTGAATGTGAGGTTAGCATACAATAGTAATGTTCTATTGTTTGTATGTGAGGATAAGATACCATGGCAGTGTTTTGTTCTTTCTTTGTGAGGTTAGCATACATGGTAGTGTTCTATTGTTTGTATGTGAGGATAGGATACAGTGGCAGTGTTCCATTGTTTGTTTACAATGTTGCTATAAGTCAAAGGCAATTTATGATGCCTAAAACAGCAATGACAAAGGTGGTGAGACTTGGCTTAAAATATTTTAAACATGTTATCAGGAGGGACTAGCACTTGGTAAAGTACAAAAATCCTTGAAAAAGCACGAGTTAACTATGTTTGGACAGGTAGTGGTTCAGTTAAGGAGAGGATGACCCCCACTGCCCACCCTCATGAGGCAGCCTGACACAGAGGTGGACACTGTGGGTTTAACGCGGTGGGGAAGATGAGGCTGGCACAGGACTGAGGAAGCTTTCAATCTATTGCACTTAGGGTCATTCTGAGCTCGAGTCACCTCAGCAGCACCTGGCAACAGCCGATGAACTAGACGCTTGGGTAGCACATACGGTTAACATGCTTACCTGCTAGCTGAAAGGTTGGAGGGTTGAGCCCACCCAGAGGCTCCTTGGAAGAAAGGCCTGGTGATCTGCCTCTGAAAAAAACAGCCAAAGAAAACTTGATGGATCATAGTTCTGTTCAGATACATATGAGTCTACCAGGAGCTGGAATTGATTGATTCTTTGATGACTGATTTTACTATGAGCTGTCTGTTAAAACTGGGGACTTTGTGCTTGTGTTTCTATAGCTTGTACTGACAGCTTTGGGTTCATGGACATTCAAAGGCTGGTTATTGATTCATAACCTAAATATTTCCAGGGGGACCATGAAGATGCAGTCCCAGGAGATAAAGGGTTCCCTGGACCCCCAGGGCTCCCAGGCAGAGAAGGACCTGTGGGGCCACCAGCTCAAGGATTTCCTGGTCCACCAGGAGAGAGAGGGAGACCGGGAGCCCCTGGTCGCCCTGGAGCAAGAGGACTTGATGGCATGAAGGGCCAAAAAGGTAATGTGCTAATGTGCTTGTTTTTGTCGCCCAAACTCAAGTGAAATCATTAATGCTGATGTTTCTCTCTCTTCCAGGCAAATATCACAGCTCTGTCAAAAATGTGTTGTTTTGTGCTATGGAGTCAGAACCCTCCCCTCTTGAATTCTCATACCTGTTTTACTAGTTATCTATTTCTAGAATGGTTTTAGGTTATAAGTCTTCAGGGAGGATACTGTCCATCTTTCTGTCTCAGAGTCCCTGATAGATTCCAAACCTCTCACGTTTTGGTTAGGGGAGCTCTGGTGACTTCTTATGTGCTGTCAAGTTGTTTGAAACTCATAGTGACCCTATGTACAACAGCCCTAAACCTTGCTCTATCCTCAGCCAACTTTATTATCTCTGAAACACCTACCCTCATTACCCAGTCACTGAATCAATCCATCTCATCAAGGGTCTTCCCCTCTGTGCTGTCCCTCCACCCTCCCAAGCGTGATGTCCCTCTCCAAGGACTGGTCCCTCCTTGCAACATGCCCAAAGTATGTCATATGAAGCTTCAGAAACCTTGCCTCCAAGGAGAAGCCTGGTTTCACCCTCTCCAGGGTGAACCTGTTTGTTTTCTTAGCAGTTCACTCCTCTCAAACGTCACAGCTTAAAGGCATCAATTGTGCTGTCAATGCAAAGGTGGCTTTGCACCGTGGCTCAAATCCACCAGCTGCTCTGTGGAAGGAAAATGACCATCTCCTGTGAAATTTACTGCATCTAAAAACCCACAGGTGGGGCTCAGCTACACCTTTTGGTTAGCCGTCCAACTTCATTTCTCAGTATCAGTGTACACAACCTGATTTTATTAAAATTATGTATGTCTATACCATGCACAACACATAAAACGTCAAAATAGCGATTTTTTTACCCACTTAAGAAAATGCAATACATTTCAATAAAAAGAAAGCTAGCATTTCATTTAGATTTACATTATTATCTGTGAAAAACCGTTTGTAAGCATTTTAAGGAAAAGGAGATATTTAAGTATACTCCACAGTTATGTGAAATTAAATAATAAAGTGGTTTGTATGGTGAGAGCTGAAAATGTTAACAAATATTTTAATGCATCTCAGTGAAATTTCACACGACGTATTAGTTCCAGTTTAACAACTTCTATGTGGCTTGTTCAGTGATATTTGCTACATTTGTTACACACGTGTCAACATGATTTCTGTTTGGGTTGTTTTGTTTACAGTAACTTCCTTTCCTTCTCTTCTTGATCTTCTCCTGTTTGTTTTAGGATACATGTCGACCAATTTGTTTCATACAGGTTTTATTTTAAGGATCACAGTAACCACAGGTGATACTTATTTTATTCTGGCATTTGTTTCAGTGCAAGTTTAAAGAGTATCTCAGGGAGAAAATTTGAGAGGTTCCTCTAGTCTCAAATTGGTGCATTAAGTCAAGACTTTTTAAATGTTTGAATATGTTATATGTTTCTTTCCCATTTATCAAGGTCACTCTATTGGGTCCCTGATGAAAAAAGGTCGGTAGAGGTTGTTGCTGTTAATTGCCTTCGAGTTGAAAAAGACTCATAGAGTTTCTTCCCGAGGCATGTTTGTTTAGAAAGTGGGTGCCACTCCTCCATAAAACTTTGGATAGCATAGGAGAGGATAAGGTTCAGATCTGTTGTTCATAGGTTGCTACTCAACTTGACAGCACACAACAACAAAAGCAGCTAAAATGCATCCTCTTTGAGAGCTTTAAAATGATGTCTACTTCCTTTTCCTTTATGCCAACAAGGAAAAAAAATTGTTTGTTTACTGATTATGTCTACTCTGCTTTCCTTAAGAGCCGAAGTTCTGAGCAAAACATTCTGATAAATGTCCCATGTGTGCATATATTACTGAACTTTTGTACAACTGCTAAGTAAAACCCAAAATCTAAGAGATTTTGCCATTAATCAGTAGTTTTTATTAATACATACTCAGTCTCCTGATTTATACAACTTCCAAACTAGGAAATGTTCTAAGCCCAGGCCTCGGTCCTTGCTGTCTGCTGTGGCCATGGCTTCGCTGACTTCTGCCTCCATGCAGCTCTCTATGGGCCTAGAAACACACATGCTAAAAGGTTTTTAAAACGGATGCTTTTTAGAATCAATCTCTTTCTTACTCTCATTATATTTATAACTGTTCTGAGAGTTGATAGTCCGATTTCTTGACAACTCTTCTAAAGTTCAGTATTAAAATGGTTTATGAGGGAGCTCTGGTGGTCTAGTGGCAAGAAGCTGCGCTGTAATCCCGAAGGCATGTGGTTCGAATCCACCAGATGCTCCGCTGGAGAAGGAGGGTCAGTCTCTTCCTGTGCCAGTCAGATCTGTCTTGATGGTACACAACAACAACATCAACAAAAAGCAAACAACTGTTTATGATATCTCATGATATTTGAGGTTTTCTCTTCATGTGACTTCGGTATGTGCATTATGATAACGATATTGAACAAGGTTATTGTCATTGAGACCCACATTGTGATGGTCTGTCCATTATGAGAATGACATTTTTTTTTTCATTCCAGGTGATACGATTCTTTGTAACCTCACCTACCCAGGGATGCCAGGCCTCCCGGGTGTTAAAGGACCTCCAGGTATGGTTACTAGCTTTTATTTCCATATATATATATTTATGTAAATGAAACAGCAAGAGAGATAAAAGAATATCTTATAACAACAATTCATTATTGGCCAGTTAAGATAATTCTAGAAAGTCCTAAGGTGGTTCTGGTGGCATAACCCATAGGGAGTTGTGTTGTTATTGTTAGGTTAGGTTAATGGACTTAAAGAAGAAATCAGAGAGCATGAGAGAAAGCTTAATGCAGCTTTATTAAAGGGGGGAAAGGGGAGCTCCCGGGTTGAGTTCCTCATCCTGAAGAGACAGGATGGGAAGTCACATTGTGAACTTACTAGGGAGGATTTTTATAAACAGAGTCTTTAGGGAGGGACATTCCACTCTGATTTATGAGCCACCTGCTAGCTTAGCCAGACAGGCAAGGCTGTTTTCTCTTCTTATCAGCAACAGGAAAGGTCATTAGCTTTTGAGTTCTGAATTGTTCATTCTTCTCTTTGGCCCTCTTTGCCCAGACTAACAGTTATCTCAAAGGTGGTTTCTCCCTGGAAGTTCAAATCCTCCAACGACACTGGGAGAAAGATGGGGAAGTTCTTCCCATATGATCTCCAGCCCCCAAAAATTCACTGCAGAGTGAGCTAGAAATAGATTCCAACTCTATGTCAGTGAGTTGAGGTTATGGTAACACAGCATCTGTAGTCATTCAGAGATGGCCTCACTGTGACACACTGAGAATCTACCTGTATTTTATCATCCATCACCTAAGATGTCTGTACTGAGAATGTTGTTGTTGTTAGGTGCTGTTAAGGTGAGTACAACTCACAGCAACGCTGTGAACAACAGATCAGACCACTGTCCTGTCCTGTGCCGTCCTCACACTTCCTGATAAAATAGTGGCCATTGAGACAGTCACTGTGTTAATCCACCTGGTTGAGAATCTTCCTCTCCTTCGCTGACCCTCCACCCTTCCCAGCATCTTTCCCTCTCCAAGAAGAATGTTAGGAGCATCAAAACTGTACCTACTAAAAAAAACCCAAAAAACAAACAAACAAAAAACACAAAAACCAAAAATTGTACCTAATTTCGTTTCCTGTGTGCCATGAGGGAAAAGATGAGTATTTCTTTTCTGGCTCCACATCTATTCTGCTTTTCATAAACTGCCAGGCAAAAGCATTCTGAAAATATCCAAGTGTTTGCATTGCCTGATTGAATTTTTTTACAACTGTATCAAATGTCCTTTTTTCACTAAATTAAATGTTAAAAATTGGGATTTTGCCTGATTTTGGAAGTTGTCTCAGAGTTGACTTAAACTCCTGGCTGTCATTGTGAGATGCCATCAAGCCATTCTGACTCTTAGCGACCCCAGACGTGGGACTGGAATCATCCCATATGGTTTCGTGAACTGTAATCTTGATGGTCTTGGGTCCTTAACTCTTTCTTCCTCACAGTCCCAGGCCTGGTTTGAACCACTAACCTTTCTGTTTGCAGTTGAACACTTCACCGTTTGCACCTCAAGGATCGCTTTTCTTATCCTTTGCACTGTGACAAGTGTTGAAGGATGACTGATGCGTGAGTTTGTATTACACACTCTAACAGTTGGGCATCATGACCATGTAAGAGGCATTGGAGCTCCAGAATTCCAGCCTTCCCTGCAGGAAACATGGCTCCAGCTCCTGGTCAATGCCTGTCCTAAGCGACCACCTTTCCCTCAGGAGAGGCTTGTGTGTTAGTCACTATGACGCTGAAAAGATCTGAATAGAACTTCCAGACCAAAATGAGCCAGGAAGCCTGGAGATCTCCTTCTAAAAACCAGCCATGAAAATTCAACAGACCCCAGGGATTCATGGTGAACCCAGTCAGGGCATGGGCCGGGGCCTGCAGACCTTCAGTTCTGTCGTCCATGACTGGTCCTGTGAGTTAGAGGTTGATTGCACACATTGTCACAGTTCAGTAGGGAGGCAGCTTACAACAACCAAAATCACACTCTCCTTCTGGGTCTGCAGGTTGGTTGGAGTTCAGCTGATTTAAGTCAGTACCAGGCTGTAGGTCAAGTTCACGTTTACACCCCACAACATGGAAGTGCCAGCATGTCGGAGCAGCGTCACTCTGCCAGTGCTGTGCTCGTGGGATTGCAGCAGGGCAGAGGGGCAGATCAGCCCAGGAACCTTTGAATGTATGATGCTGCAGATGCCCCACTGACCTGAGCAAGACACATGCCCAAGCCCCAGGTCAATGGGTAGGGCAGTCCCCTCCACCGCCCAAAGGAACCAGCAGGCGTGTAGGAATGTAATTCTCTACTAAGGGAATCAAGAAAGTTCATTTTCACACTCCCCAGTATGGTAAGATTTCTGTCCCAAGCCATCCTCACAATCCCCACCACGCTCAAGTTCACTGCTGCAGTCACCATGTCAGTCCTTTTTGCTGAGGGTGTTGTTTTCTTTCACTGACCTTCCACCTTTCCCAGTATGATGGCCTTTTCCGAGGACCCCCCCCTTCACAACATGCCAGGTGGGCTTTCCCCATCCTTGCCTCCCTGGAGCCCCCGGTTACACTTCCTCTGAGACAGGCTTGTTTGTTCTTTGGCAGTCCATGACATTTGATACCCTCTGCCAGCATCACAATACACAGGCATCAGTTCTCCAACCTTCCTTAGTACTAAAGAGCAAGGATGTCCACCTAAAGATTAAGGTTTGCCTGACCCAAGCCATGGTCTTTTCAGTTGTTTCATATCTACCTGAAAGTTGGACAGTGAATATGGAAGTTCAATTGAATATCAATGTATATTCCAAAGACTTTCAAGAAAAACCCATTACTGTACAACTTCTAGGAAACTAACACAAAAAAAGCATTTCCTTGAACACATTACTAATAAAATGATTGCTTTAACCATAGATTTTACATTTTTAACTTTTGACCTAAAAAAAGATAGTTAACACAGATTTGGAAGTAAATAAAGTCACCATATTTGTCCACGTTTGATTTGTATTTTAATGCTTTTATGTTCTGTTGTCTATGTAGGTCCAAAAGGATTTCCTGGTTCCCAGGGTGCTCCGGGGCCAGTGTGTTTTGATGGACTGAAAGGCCGGCGTGGCCAACCGGGGACATCCAAGATGCCGGGCCCACCTGGTAAGTAGGATGCTTTCCTACTTTGAACTTGTGTGTCAAGAGCTTAAACACATCCCAACATGGATATTGTTGACAAGGAAGTGGCCCATGGGTCCTGGAGAATGAAGTGTTTAATTAAAAAGGTCTGATGGCAAAAACAATGTACATGGACTTTGTATATAAACCAGTATAAAATGCAATAAAAATTTTAAAAATAGTTTTTTTAAAACTATTTTTTATTAATTTTAATGAAAGTTTAGAGACTTTGGATTTCCATTCATTCATTGTTACACTTTTCTCCCTGCCCACCCTTCCCCCCTTGGTTTGCTCTTCTCTTTGAAAAGTAAAAGGAAAATTCTTTCACTGTTATACAATCCCTCTTCCCAAGTCCACTCAACTAGGCAGTCTTCATTCTGGACTCCTGTCATAACAATAAGACCTACTCATATATCCCTTTTAAACAGTTTTCTTCCTCTGTTTCAATGCAGTCTACATAATTTATCCCATCTTTCTCAGTCTCCCCACCAACTCCGATGTCAGTCCGGTTCTACAACAGTGGCACTATGCTGTATTTGTCTTTCTGTGACTGAGATATTTCACTCAGCATAATGTCCTCCAGGGTCACCTATTTTGTATAATATTGCATGAGTTCCTTGTTTTTCAATGCAGCATAGTATTTCATTGTGTGAATATATCACAGCTTCTCTATACATTCATTTGTTGATGGGCACTTAGGTTGTTTCTAACTCTTTGCTATTGTGAAAAAAAGCAGCAATAAATATGGCTGTACATATATCTGCTTGGGTGGCAGTTAGTTATGGTTTCTTTGGGGTATATTCCCAGTAGTGAAATTGCTGGGTCAAATGGTATTTCTATTTACAACTTTTTGAGAAAGCGCCATACCACCTTCCACAGTGGCTGCACCTTTTTACACTCCCACCAACAGTGAATCAGGGTTCGTTTTTCCACAACCTCACCAGCCTTTGTTGTTTACTATTCTGTTAAATTTTGCTATTCTTACTGAGGTGAGATGATGTCTCATAGATGTTTTGATACACATCTCTTAGAGCTAGGGATTTTGAACATTTTTTCATGTGTTTGTTGGACATCTGAATGTCTTCTTTGGTGAAGTATGTGTTCATATCCTGTGCCCATTTTTCAATTGGGTTGTTTACCTTTATCTTGTTGTGGTGCTAAAAACTATTTAATAAAATAAAAATAGCTTTTCTAGCTACATTACACCCTACGCTATGCTTTAATAACTTGAGCTATTATAATTTAACAAATTGACAGCATTTATCAATCTTGAAGCATGGCTTATAGACTGTTACTGCTCTATTTAGTTTCTATTTTAGAAACTACTTGGCTTGGAAAGTTTTCCAGAGAATTAAAACAATTGTTGTTGTTGGTTGCCATGGAGTCAACCATGACTCATAACGACCCTGTGAACAACATTTTGAACCTTTGCTCTGTCTTGTACCATCCTCACCATTCCTGACATGATCAAGCCCATCGCTGCAGTCACTGTGTCAGTCCGTCCTGTTGGAGGGCTTCCTCTCCTTCTCGGACACCCCCCCCTTTCCCAGGATGATGTCTTTTTTCCAAGAACGGGCTCCTCTTGACAACATGCCCCCGTATGTGAGACGTAATCCAGAAAGTGTATTGCTTGTGGAGCTTTGGTGGCCTAGGCCCTTGGGAATTGTGCTTCTAACCCAAAGACTACAACTCTCTGGTGGTTCAAATCCACCAGCTGCCCTCCAAGAGAATGAATGATAGGCAGTCTCCTCTCCCCCCGATTTACAATCTCTGAAAACCTGTGGGAGGGTCAGCTAGGAGACACTTCAGCCTCTAAGGCAGTCAAGTGTTTTTTTTCTTTTCATTTTATTGACTTGCAGGAGATTTGTTTTACTACAGATAGTATAAATTGTAATTGCAAGGTTACAATTTGTTTTCTACCAATAGTAATGAAAACATTACCTACTAGTGCTTAGAATTTGGGAAAGAACTTTCTGTATTTTTTTAAATGTATAAATCATGTTAAAAGTCTTACTTCTATTCGGCTTGGCTGTATGCACTGAATACTTAATTTTGTTCATTGTTATTAAACAGGTTTCCGTGGTGAGGTGGGAGACCCAGGCTTTGAAGGTGAAATGGGATCCTCCCTGGCTGGACCTCCAGGCTTCCCTGGTTTACCTGGCACAGATGGTCAGAAAGGCGCCCCCGGGGACCCAGCTTATGGCTACCCAGGGCCTCCAGGAAATAGGGGCTTGTCAGGAGCTCCAGGAATGAAAGGACTCAGGGGTCTTCCAGGTCTTCCAGGGGCTGCAGGTACGAGGCCCATCTTGCCTGTGCAGTTGGTAAGCCAAGAAAACTCTGAAACAGTCCCTGAAGGATGTTTAGACTCACTGCTTGGTGCCATTGAGTCCTCTGACTCCTGGTGACCCTGGTACAACAGGACGAACCCTCACACGGTCCTGGACCATCCTCACGTCTCTGCCACGTCCAGACCTACTGCTGCAGCCCTAGTGTCACTCCATCTCTGTGAGTCTTCCTCTCTTCTGCTGATCCTCTGCTTTTACAAACATGGTGGAATTATGGTGCTGGTGAAGAATCCTGAATATTTAGATGATCTTGCTGTAACTGTGGAATGTGGAGTTTTCACCCAGACGTTGTGTAGACAGGCACTGGCAGCATTGCTAATAAACTGCACCCAGCTCTTACCTCCGGCTCCTCTTGTAAAATCCAGGGTCAGTCACTGGGACTCAGTTAATTTGGTTTAATCCCGCAGTACCTGACACCTGCAATTTAGGACATTAAGTTAGTGCCATAAATTGAGAGGCAGAGAATGGTGTTCACTGCTATGGGTAGACTGAGGTGGGCAGGGCTGGTTGTAAGAAAGCGGTACTTCCAAGAGTGAGAGAGGTGTGGGTGAGAGATCGTGGGAACTGAGGGATGAGAGTTCATGGCAGATGTGGGGTGCTCACATACAAAGGAACAATGAATTAGGATGTGAAAAGGTAATACATGAAATGATGAAAATACATAAAATAATAAAAATACATCTGAATGAAAATGATGAATGTTACAGATTATGAAGCAAATCTTGAAGTATAATCCACATTGGAGCAATGGAAGGAAACAAAAAAAGGGTTAATAAGCAGGAAAGAAAATATAGAAATATATCTCTGTGTATCTATCTCTATCTCTATATTCTATTTATATTTATCTGTATCTGCATCTCTATCTCTATATCTGTATCATCTATGTCTAGATCATCTATATCTTGTTGTTGTTGTTATGTGCCGTCGAGTCGCTTGCGACTCATAGCGATCCTATGTACAACAGCTCTAAACTCTGCTCTGTCCTGTGCTAATCTCATTGTCTCGAACACACTCATCCTGATTGGCCCAGTCACCAAATCAAGCCATCTTCCAGAGGGCCTTACCCACCTGTGCTGTCCCTCCACCCTCCTAAGCATGATGTCCTTCTCCAAGGACTGGTCCCTCCTTACGACATGACCAAAGTATGTCAGACAAAGCCTCAGAATCCTTGCCTCCAAGGAGCAGCCTGGTTTAACCCTCTACAGGATGAATCTGTTTATTTTCTTAGCAGTCCATGGCACTCTCAGCTCTCTTCTCCAACACCAAAGCTCAAGAGCATCAATTCTCCTTCTATCCTCCATGGTCATTGTCCAGCTCTCTGATGCATAACAAGTGATTGCAAAGACCATGGCCTTTATCAGACGCACCTTAGTCTCCAGAGACTCATCGTTGCTCTTGAGTACTTTAGAGAGGTCCCTAACAGCAGACTTTCCCATTGCAGTACATCTTTTAATTTCCTGGATGCTGGTGCCAAGAGTGTTGATTGTGGAGCCAAGCAGACTAAAGCTGTGAATAATCTCAGTCTCTTCACCATCCATCCTGATGCTGCCAGTTGGTCCAGTGGTGAGAATCTTTGTCTTCTTGACATTCATTGAGCCTCAATCCACATTGAAGGCTGCAGCCCTTGACACTCTGCAACAAGCATGTCAGGTCCTCCTCAGTTTCAGCAAGCAGGGTTGTGTCATCTGCATAATGCAGATTGTTGATAGATCTTCCACCAATTCTGATGCCACACTTCTCCTCATAGAGCCCAACCTCCTAGATAATCTGTTGTGCATACAGGTTGAAAAGGTATGGAGATAGGACACTTCCCTAGCGTACGCCCTTCCCAATTTTGAACCATGCAGTGTTGCCCTGCTCTGTTCTGATGACTGGCTCTTGGTTCAAGTATAAGTTTCACATTAACACGATCAAGTGTTCTGGGATTCCCATTCTTCTGAGTCAGCCACAGTTTGTTATGGTCCACACAGTCAAACGCCTTTGCATAATCAATGAAGCACAGATAGGCATTCCTCTGGTACTCCCTGCTTTCAGCCAAGATCCATCTAACATTAGCTACAATACCTTAGTACCACGACCCCTTCTAAACCCAGCCTGGACTTCTGGCAGTTCTCTGCTGATGTGCTGTTCCAGTCATTTTTGGATAATCTTCAGCAGAATCTTGCTTGCATTTGAAATCAACAATATTGTTCCATAGTTTCCACACTCTCTTGGGTCACCTTTCTTTGTATTTGGAACAAATATCGATCTCTTCCAGTCAGTTGGCCAAGTGGTTGTTCTCCAGATTTCTTGACACAACTTGGTGAGCATGTCCAGGGTAGCATCTATTAGCTGAAATATGTCAATTGGTATACCATCTATTCCTGGGGCCTTATTTTTTGCTATTTCTTTCAAAGCAGCTTGAACTTCTTCCTTCATCACCATAGGCTCTTGCTCATATGTTGTTTCATTAAATTCTTCTGTGTCTGCTAATTCCTTTTGATACAGTGACTCAGTATATTCTTTCCATCTTCTTTTGATACCTCCTGGATCATTTAATACTCTGCCTAAAGCATCCTTGATTATAGCGACTCTAGGTTTGAATTTGTTCTTCAGTTCCTTGAGCTTAAGAAATGCTAAGCAAGTTTGGGGAGCTCTGGTGGCCTAGTGGCAAGGAACTGCAACTACAATCCCAGAGGTGCACGGTTCAAATCCACCAGATGCTCTGCTGGGGAAGGAGGGACAATCTCCTCCTGTACCAGTCAGATCTGATTTGACGGTACACTCACACAAAAATAATAAAAATTTTTAAAAAAAGAAATGCTAAGCAAGTTTGACCCTTTTGGCTTCTATATTTAGATCATCTATTTATCTGTTACTCTTTTATCTATATATCATCTATTCCTTAGATTTATATCTACCTCTATCTCTGTTATCTCTATCTCTATCTCTCTATCTCTATCTATCTCTATGTTATTCATTGGCTTTATATAGAAAGACCTGTTGTCATTGTTGTTAGGTGCTGTAAAGTCCGTTCTGACCCCCACTGACCCAATGCTAACAGAACACTGCGTGTGAACTCTCTGTTGCTGTGACAATCTACCTCACTGAGGTCCTTTCTTTTTTTGCTGGCTCTCTACTTTCCCAGCCTGATGTCCTCCTCCAGGGACTGGTCCCTACTGTTAACAAGCCTCAGGTGTACGAGACAAAGTCCCTCCAGCCTCGCTTCCAAGGAGCATTCTGGGTGTGCCGCTTTCCAGGACAGGCGTGTCATTCTTCATTATTTGTCACCAACACCATCATTTAAAGGCGTCAGTTCTCCTGCGGTCTTTCTCCTTCATCGTTGAGTTTTCACGTGCATGTGAGGTGATTGAGAACCCACGTCTGGGTCAGGTGCACTTTAATCCTCCTGGAGACATGTTTGCTCTTTAACACTCTGAGGAAGCTTCCTAATATTATATGCCATTTGGCTTCTTGATTACTTTTTTCCTGGTTGTTGATACAGAGACAGCTATTAGCAATTCAAATCCTATTTGTAGAGATAACATCAAAGATGTTGAAAGATTTGAAGAGTGCTGTGTAATATGAAATAACTCCACAGCTAAATGTACTGTGTACTAGTTTCAGATGCATCTATCTGAGCCAACATATCAAGTAGCCTATCCTTTGTCTGAGTTTGTTGGAGGATTTGAGGGAGAAGAGCCCTAGCTGGCAGGACTGAGAACTTTGTAACATTGGCTAAAAACATGAGGCTCAAGGGTCAGTTGCCTGTAGTTACATTTTGGAAGCTATCTTGATGGTATCCTGCTACTAATCTGAATTACAGCATGACTTCCCTGATAGATGGATAGATAGATAGATAGATAGATATAGATGAGGTAGATAGATGATATATATGAGATAGATAGATGATATAGATATAGACATAGACATAGATATAGATATAGACAATATAGATAGATGATATAGATATAGATGATATAGCTATAGATACAGTTATATATATAACTGTATATATATACATATAACTGTATATATATGAAAAATAATAAATGAATACTTTCCAAGGGGAAGTGTATGACATTATGGGGCTTTGTTTTTCTATTTTAAGTTTCCTTTTGACATTATGGTTCTGTGCTTCCAAGGAATATGTATTTAAAATATAATTGATTAATTGTTTTTTAAAGGGAAAATACCTAGTATGAACTTTGTTTGTAAATGTCAGGAAAAAAGTTGTGAAAAGTTTGCAATAAGATGCAGTGGTAGTTAAAATCTGGAAGGATGACATGTGGTTAGGTTTGCATAAGTGATGTCTTTGTCCACGTAACTTTATTGAAGACCTTGATTACCAGTGTCTGCTTGATTCATTCATCTGGATCATACTATAATCTATGATTGATTGTAATTCTCCAAGTGACTGAAGAGCAATGATGTCAGTTTGATGACTAAGATACTTTTGATTGAGGTCATGGTCTTTTTAATCACTTGCTACTCCTCTGAAAATTGGACAATTTCAATTCATTGTCCAATGAATAAGGATGACAAAAGAATAATTGATTCTTTGGAGTTATGGTGCTGGAGCACTGAATATCGCGTGGGCTTCCAGAAGAACCAACAAGTACGTCCTGGAGAAGGTGCAACCAGAGTGCTCCTGAGAAGCAGGGATGATGCCTCTTCATCTGACGTACTTTGGGCGTGTTGCTGGGAGCGGCTCTTCCTTGCTGAGGGAGAACATGCTTGCAAAGGCGGAGCATCAGTGAAAGAGACCCCAATGAGATGGATTGACACAGTGACTGGAGTAATGGGCTCAAGTGTGTCAGGGATGCTGAGGATGGCACAGGAGAGGACAGGGTTCACATCTGTTGCTCACAGGGGTGCTACGAGTCATATTCAACTCGGTGGCATCTGATAACAGCAACCTATGATAAGAAAATATATTCAGGGTCCAGGGAAGAAAATCTCTTCTGAGACCAAAGAATTGGAGTCTTTGGGTTGTGGTGATGGTGATGGTGAAGAGTATTGACCATCCCGTGGACTGTCAGATGAACAATCAAATCTGTCTTGGCAGAACACCCATCACAGTGCTTCTCAGAGGCAGACTCTGTCTCACCTGCTCTGGGCATGTTGTCAGTAGGGGCTGATCCTTAGAGAAGGCCATCATGCCTGGAAAAGCAGAGGGTCAATAAGGAACAGAGAGACTCTCAACATGATGGATTGACCCGCTGACGGTAACAGTCAGCTTACTCATAGCAGAAACTGTGCGGATGGTGTAGGATTCCTTTCAATCCGTTTTTATAGGAATCAACTTCCATCGCACCTAACAATGACAACACCTTCAGTCCTAACCTGATTGGGCTCTGAAGCAGGATCAGCATGTCTTCATTGGCTGTTGATGTGCATGAATAGACTGTCAATCATCTCCATGGTTTTGCATCGTGTGTGTGATGAGGGTGTTATGTCATTTCAGGGCCAGCGGGCACTCCAGGACGTCCAGGTCTCAAAGGTCCTAAAGGCAGAGAGGGAAGTGCTGGTTTTCCAGGTATTCCAGGCCCACCTGGCCATTACTGTGAAAGAGGTGCTCCGGGGACCCCAGGGCCACCAGGACTCCCTGGGGCTCCAGGCAGTCCAGGTGAGTTTCGGCAGGTATCGCAATTGTAAAGGGTCTGGGAGTTTACTCTTCTTACAAATGATTAGCTCACATCATATACCGTTGAGTCAGAATTGGCCCTTAGCTGACCCTCCAGTGCGTTTTCAGAGACAGTTAGTCACATGGGAGGAGATTGCCCATCTTTCTGCTGTGGAGCAGCTGGTGGATTTGAACCGCATGCCTTTGAGTTGACAGTGCAGCTCTTTACCCCTAAGCCATGAGAGCTCTGTTTATTACGAAAGGAAAACTTAACTGCCTGGGGCAGCGGTGCTGCCTGGATCCAGTGCTGGCTTGACCACAGAATTCTCTGTTAAGGGTGAGGGGGAAGTAACCAACTACTTGTACCTGTACACCCATAACCCTACCGCATAGTTAGATTGTGGAATGCGTAAACTGATAGAACAGCATAGCCCGAGGAGACACCATCATCTGCTTGACCTGTAACAAATGTATCAAGTTTGGTGAGCCTGGCTACAAACATGAATAGCAAGGCTCTTTCCAAGAGCTGTTCACTAAGACGTGGAACTAGAAAAATCAGTCTAAGAAGAGCTTTGTTAGCTCAGCTAACATATGGGAAGTGTTGATGGACGAGCCTGGGGGACTTGTTGGAAGAAGCCGTGCTGCAGTCCCAGCGGCAAGCAGTTCGAATTCACCAGCTGCTCCATGGGGGGGGAGGATGAACAGTCTCCTCCCGTGTGATTTACTGCCTCTGAAAACCCGCGTGGGGGGTCAGCTCTGAGTCAGTTCCAACGTAAGGGCAACAACCACCCCCAGGGTCTACCTGATTCTGCTAAGAGGTTTGCACGTTTTTATAAGACTTTGCAGCAGACATGCTGAAAGGCACATGGACCCAAGTAGTCACATCATTTGGCCGGATGACACTTCACCTAGGGCTAAGAGGGACACAGAGAAACGGAGCAGTAGGGGTGCAGTTAGGAGCTACTCGGCTGCTGTTTTGTGGCTGCTGGGGCAGAAGTGAAGCTCCTGGGTCAGAGGCAGAAGACTTTATTCCTCCCAGCAGAGCAAACACTTAAACTTCATGCTGGTTAGTGTCTGGCCCCAGTGTCCCTCCTTTCCCACTCATGGTGTCCTTACCTGCCCGTGGAGATGATGAGGTCGGGGCTCGGTGAGGAGCCCTCTGCTTCACAGCCATCTACAGAAAGGCCTGCTTTCTGTCCAGGTGGGTGGGAGATGGGAGTTGTCCTCCATCATCGTTGCTTGCTGCAAACATGATGCTGAAAAATGGACTGAACAAGAGTCATTGTCGGTTTCGATCAAGTCCACCCAGAGCCCTGGTGGCCCATGGACAAGAGCACAACATGCCCTGTACCATTCTCTCCATCCTTAGTGTTTACGTCTATCACTGTGGTCACTACGGATTTCGAGTGTCTCCAAACTCCAGGAGGGAGCTCTGGTGGCATCGTTCAAGGACAGTTACACAGCTCATCCAAAGACCACGCCTCTCTGGGGTTTCAAATCCACCAGCCGCTTTGCAGGAGGAAGAGGCCCAGTCCCTTCCCGTGTGGCTCACAGAGTTGGAGACCCCCTGGAGGGTCAGCTGTGCATTGGTTCTTACTCAAAGGCATTGAAACGGAATCTTTCTCTCCAACCTAAGGCGCTTGGCTTCTTGCACTTTAATGCGCAGTATTCCACAGCATTTACTTCTCCACAAGTCAGTCCCCAGGTGCTTCTTTCTAGTCTGTCTTGTTCTGGAAGCTCCTTGAAAGCCTGTGCACTATGGGTCCCTAAGCTGTTGTTGGAGATAATGTGTAGAATAGCTTCTAGCCGCATAGCAACACATGAGCCAACTTGAACTTCAGATGACTTCCGGGTGGTGAAAGGTTGGTCTGGAACTCACTTTCTTGGCGTTCTCAAAGAGTCACGGAGGAATGCCAGAGACCCCGGAGTGTCTGCTAGCTCAGAGTGCAGAGTCGCCAAGTTGAACAGAGGATTCTTCTGCAGAAAGGCCAGCCTCCTTCCCTCAGAGTACTCAGAAAGTAGCTATCCAAAAGGGGGATATTAGGGCATGAAGGAGCTGGTTTACATGCTTTCATGGAGGAATTTATTAGCTAGATGGTTGAAAAGGGGGGAAAAATAACTCCCAATGTACATGAACAAAGTCTAATGTAAATGAAACTATAGAAATCCATTTTTTTAAAAAAAATACCTTTTGTTTATTTTCTTTACACCCTTACTTTTATAATTGTTGTTGTTAATCTATGCCATCAAGTCTTGACTGAGTCAGAACTGACCCTCAAGGGGGTTTTCAGAGGCAGTAAATTACACAGGAGGAGTTTGCCCATCCTTCTCTCATGCAGCAGCTGGGAGATACGAACCACGTACCTTTGAGATTGCAGCATAGATTCTTACCACGAGGCAGCCAGAGCTCCCTCACTTTTGTAATAGCCAGAGAAGTCCATTCTTAGGCTGGTGGAGGTTACACTTCAGTGATGCGTGCAGGTAAGCACTTGAGTACTAACAGGCCACACGGAGAGACCCTGGAATACAGGTCTCCTCCTCAAGCTGTGAGAGGCCAGGCCTTGAAACCTGACAAAGCACTTCTACTCCGTACACGTGGAGTCACCCTGAGAAGGAACTGGCTTAATGGCAACTGGTTTGTCTTTTTTTTTTTTTAGGTGAAAAAACCTTTTTTCATTTTTTTTCTTGATTTGCATATAATCATTCATATACATTAGTTTTATACATGTACTTTGTGTTTTATACAATCTTTCATATACATTATGTTTTATATAATTACTAACTAGTGTTCTATGCATATTATCTCCACACCTTTCACAATTGATTATTTTGGTTTGTCTGATAGTTTAAATTTTATTCTGATTTATTTACAAAGTTTGACTACATTGAACTGGTTTGTCCTGATGGAAAGTTCTGGTTGACATTGACCGTTGGGTGCCATAAACGTGACTCTGGCTCCTAGTGTCCTGGAGGACAGATTGAAAGCCAGCCTGGTCCTGCTTCACCCAACATGCTCTGCCACGCAAGCCCCTTGTTGCTGTCACTGTACCAATTCCTTCTCGTTGAGGGTCTCCCTCGCATTTCCTGACTTCAGTGGCTCTAGTGGTAAGTCGTTTCACTGCAGCCACAAAGGCACATGCTTCAAATCACCAACCGTTCCATGGGAGAGAGGTGAACTGTCTCCTTACATGGGATTGACTGCCTCTGAAAACCCACTGGCGGGTCAGCTATGAGTCAGTTCCTATTTGATGGTGCATAACAACAATAACAGCTACTTTTCCAAGCTTTGTGGAGTCACTCCTCCTGTTGTTATTGGTAAATGCTGTTTTATCGCTCACATATACATAATTTAGGTTACTGCAGTATGTTTTTCCTGCCTGTGTGTGGAAGCAGCTTCCCATCTTCATATGTTGTCATCGCTGTGGTTTCCTCAGGTGCCCCCGGCTGGAAAGGACAACAAGGGGACAGAGGGCCATCTGGACCGATTGGAATGAAGGGTCTTCCTGGAGGCCCAGGACGACCAGGAGTAGATGGGCTTCCAGGACCACCAGGAATTCCAGGCCCCATTGGGGATGATGGATTACCTGGCCTCCCAGGCCCACAGGGTAGGTAGCACAATTCTTTTTTTCCCTCCATCCCTTACCACATTACAAACAAGAATTCCACTACTAAGTGAAGTCTTTACATATAATAATAATAATAATAATAATAATAATAATAATAATA